TGGGACTTTGCGATTGCGGATATCTAGTAAATCATGAGAACGGACTCCCAAAGATGCAGGAGGGTACCTTGAATGTCACTGTCATTGCCGACACGCAGCTGCAACAGAATACGCAGCTCGGAAAAACGTGTGGCGGGAAGCACGACCCGGGGGTTTTCAATTTGGTACATCTCGATGCATGTGGCAAGCTGTCAGCTAAGGCACGTGGTTGTGTACACTCGGTCGTCTCTTGTGGAGCAGACCACCCCAGCTTTCCTTGAGGCCGTTGGCTTGGACACTATGCTTATGAGAAATCGCTCGATGAGTCGGGTCTGGAAACTTCTTTTCTTTTGCGCATGTTTCAATAGAAGAGTTACGACATTGATCAGTCCCCTCTGCAGATTTCAGACACGATCTCGTCGGTTCCGTACCTTCGCTTTACGGATCTGGATCTCGATCCGCTCCAGATTGGTGGCTGGGCAGCACATGACCTGGATTCTTTCTGTTTATATTACGGCCACCACACTAGATGCTTGCATGGCTGCCACTACCGTCGCGACATAATTTCGGTGGTCTCGTGGCATTCCACGTTCTGTACTTCTGGTGGGGATGGGATCTGGCAACTAGGTTTTTGGAAGCAGCAGTACCTGCTTTGCCTTGACCGCATGGTTGCAGTGTTGTCGCCTGCTCTCACCAAGGAGGTTACTTGGAGTGGGTGGCTCCGGAGGACGCATGGGTTGGCATTCAGCAAGGCGTTTCAATTCGGGAGAGCACCGCTAAGCAGATAGAGTGCCTCCAGAAAGCAAGCGCAAACTCTTGCACGTTTGCCTCGGTGTTCTGCCTTTGGCGAGATGCCGGATGGACAGATGAGCCTAAACGTGGACACGCATGACAAGCCCACATTCAAACTGCGATAGGTTCGCTTCCTACATTCCAAAGCCACGGCCTCAATCCTGCGGAGGACAACTCCACCATTACGCATTACACTCTATATGCTGCAGAAGATGCCCTGGGTTCCAACAGGCACCGGCAGTGGGAAGCGGAGATGGTTGAGACTTCTGTCGCAGGCTATCGATGTGTTGTGAATGTCTACGGTGGTTGCTATATGTCACCGGCGCAGCTTCATCAGCATGAAAGCTAGCAGTCGTAAGCTTGGACTCCGAGTCGGTAGAAGAGGCTCAGGTCCACGAGTAAACTGTGTCCTCAAATACAAGTTGGGCCTTATGGCATCTTGCTTCCTACACGGCTGGGTTTCCAGTTGATTGAGCAAATCTCGAAGGGTGCAAGACGAAACCTGGTAACCTGCCGGAATTGATCGTGGTAGTCCGTCGTTTCAAGCGCCTAAGTGAGGCTGCTCGCACCCACAGGTGCTCAATCAATCAACCAATCAACCATTCAACCAATCAAAGTAGTCAGTCGATCAAGCAATCAATCAACCAACCAAGCAGGCAAGCAACCAATCATCAATCAATCTAATCCATCAATCGCTGAGTGCCGAGCAGGACACAGATAACGCCGGAGCTTCCGTTTGGGACCACTGCTGCCGTCCTTCCGCATCTCTGCTGACTACGGGCCTGGATCGTCTTGACGTAGACTGGGCTGCGTCGTTCGATGCGGAATCAGGGTGCTCAGGCTGTGCAACGACCATCCTGCTATTCCCTTGGACGGAGGCTTCGTGCCTGTCTCTGAGATTGTAAACTCTAAGCAGGCAGGAAGGATACGAATGCACAAGCACGTTTCTAACACTTACTGTACCGGCTTCGAGAGTACCCGGTGGCCAAGATGTTGATGCTTGCAGTGACGTGAAGAAATAAGAGAATGTCTCAGCAGCAGCATCGTAAATCAAGTTTGGCTTTAAGGTTAGAGAAGCGGGGGAGTTGAAACAGACCTTGGAGCCCCAATCCCCCAATCTGCCCCATAAACCCTGCATGTTGTACATCCTGCCGTTCAGGCTTGAGGGTGTTGGAGGATTCGAGCCACATGGCTTGGCTTTCAGAATTTCGGGATGTATCAGAAACCGTGACATGTGAGCAAACGACCATGGATCCCCGAATTGACCGTGACGACTGATGCACCAGAATGCAGAGATCCGCGCCAAGCGAGGCACAACTTCGAGCTGGAGAACTATACACACCTGTTGATTTACACCAAGACGGATGTGAGCGAACAGATGCTGGCCTGTGTTAACCATACTACTCGCAGGCTATCTGACAAGCGGTTCACTGGGTTTCGGCTACGACCAACTGTCAGCATTCAACGTCGTAGTGGATTTTCGCGCCTGGAGTCTCCATTGCAGGCTCAAGTTGTGTGAGATCTCCGTCGATTTGAACTGTGGGCGTTTGCAGTCTTGGCTTCGGATGTTTCTGTATCCGCCCAGGACTGTGCCAACTTCACATTTGATCACAGATGAAGTTGTCACGTTGCTGCAAGACCAGATACCCTGAGAATTCGATGATTAAGCCATTCGTCATTGGTCATTCTCTGATATTCCGGCAGGTTTAGCCGAGGGTTTGCCGTTTTGTAATATTTCACTTGAGGGTGGTATGCAAAGACTGCGCATTCGACGGCGTGTCTTCATGTGTCAGTCGTTTTCCGGTATGTGCTGAGCAGCCCAACGCGCTCTCGTCTTTCAAGATTTTGAATCGTGCGTATGCAGCGTGTGTCCCTCACCATCAGGCTCCATGACCAGCACACCTCTTACTGTGGAGTTTCCATTGCAAACCATCTCGGCGCGACACACTGGTGTCAGTATACAGAGTCAACAGTGGCCAGTAGAGGCTGCACGAGTCAGCCCGTGCGCCAAGAGCTCAAGCAGCCAAGTAACGGAAGTGTCCCTTTGCCGGCGGAGTAAGTGTGAATGCAGTCCCAGGCTTCGGTATCGCGACTGATGCTCGTCGACCTGGATTTGGACGAGTCCGAGATCGGGGGTACAATTACATGGCACTTTGCCCAATGCATTGGAGGAGGCATTGGATTGCTTGAATCCTGTTAGCGGAGGTATCTCGCTTGGGGTGTTTCAGGGTGGATTAGGGGCATAGGGTGGCATTGAAATTCGGCGATCCGATTCCTGTGTGTGGTGATTTTAAGAAGGTCAGTCCATGTCGTCGCCGCACTGGACTGGCAGCACTTTCGTGCCAGATGCAGAACATAACTCTCAAGATGCTTAATTCGTCGCTCAGTGAGGTCTCCGCCTACGTCGGTGACTTTGGTCGCCGGCTACTACGTCTACCTCGCCGAGTCCATGGAAGGCCCTTGTGTGAAGAAGGCAGTTGTGATCATGCTTCGGGTTCCTGAGGAATCACAAGGACTTCTAGGGTCCGGGATTGCAGCCCTGGTTTCCTTGGCTCTCCCAAAGCACACACCATTGCGCACCTTCCAAACCGCTTTGCATTAACTACACTGCCAAGCGACAGTGGGAATCAGCCAAGACGTCGGCAAGGGCATAGCAGCTCACACGTGCAAGCTGAGGCGCACAAACCCCGTCAGCCAGGCGATGACGAAATCAACGAGAGCCTCAAATGACTGCTGGTAAATCCGCCACCACCACCATCATCCACACGGCGAAGACAGCGCGCCACACCCAATGCCATCAACACCCCCACTCACCACTACTAACAGTTCGGTCCATCAGGGCACTCTGACGACATGGAATGCCTGAAATGCCAATATCCAAGCCGTCCTCACCCTGCAGAGGGCCATATAGTATGATCCTACGTTCGACACGAAGCCAACCTCTTGCCCTGCACTGCCTGCGAGGCTCGGGTCGCTCCCCTGTTGGGGCCTTTGTGGCCGCCGTGCCCTCAACACTCTGAGGCCATCTCCTGGTCAGGACGCATCACTCTATTTTGCTGAAGATTCCAGGTCCTTCTAGGTGTTGTTCAACAAAGACTCTAGCCCCTCTGTAGTCCTTGCGAGTGGCTTGCACGTTCACGTCGGGTAAGCAACAGCTGAATGAGGTTGGGACCAATTTCATCGACCTGAGCCCGGACCATGCAATCAACAGCTCTAAGTTCGTTGTTGTGCACCACTACTGCGGTTATGTACTCTTGGCTCGGTAGTGCAACTGCGTGCCCCGGGGCTTGGCTTTGTTTGCTGTCAGCTTTTCAGCAAAGCCATTTCCCTTGACGTCTGGTGACCTAACTTGCAATGTGATTTTGTACTGGATACGGAGCTCGAAGTCTCATCAGCCCGAGCCCGTTAGTGCAGGGAACGAGGCTCCCCTCCCTCGCAGCTTAGACGATGCAGTCTAGCTGTGGATCACTTCCCAGGTATGCAGCATCATCGTTCGTGGAGCAGACCACCCCGGTGGCCTTCCGCCTCAGCGACTCTGCTTCGCAGGTGCTCGAAGTCAACTTCACGGACCCGATCCGATGGCGAGGGCTGTGGATTTTTGATGGGGTGACGGAGGCTTCAAGACGGGACTTGCTTGGGGCTCTCTTTCGTACTCGAGTGACTCTAGTGCTTTCCTTGGAAAGCTTCTTTTGATCAGGATTGTAGGCCTGATGGGCTGAAGCATTTGCAGTGGTCATGGAATTGAAGCGGAGCCTGGCCGTGTGAACTTAACTGCTTTTGTAGAGGTGTCTTGTTCGACCTAGCCCAACACTTCACGTCGTGTTGCTAGTTGTTGTCACTGATGTCACTCTCATTCAGGTGTCAGACGGAAGCAAGTCTGCTGTTGGAACAGAGTCGGCAAAACAGTGACAGCTGCTCTCCAAATCAAGCTTCAATCAGTGAGGCATGACCTGCTAACTCGCGCTCGTTAACTTAGAGCCTGCCACCACGCGAGGACTTGGACTTGGATTTGGGCGAGCTGGGCGGTGAGGTCACGTGGCTGCCCTCGCCCGATCATATGCAGGCATGGGGTGGTTCATTTCTGATCAAGCGAGAACGGCTCCAACGATAAAGGGGATCAAGTAAGAGCGCAGCGAGAAGGTCAGGGATTGTGCACGTGGGTCCCCCAGGATGCTTCATCTGTGCAGGTGGCCGGATACTATGTTTACTTTGCGGAAGCCGATAGTAGCATGCGATCGCTTCTGGGCAATACGACGGAAGATGCCACTAGGCTGCACAGCTGGGCTGCCCTCTTTTTGTGAAGGGTTGGCATCGCTTGTTTCTCCTTTAGGTGCACCAGATCGACCTTCCATCCGACCAGCCGACGGGCTCTCTGTCCACCGTCCTGGTGCAATTCAGTTGCAGAGAGCTCGTAGTCGTTGTTCAGGGTTCGTCTGTCCCAGAAGTTTGAATGTCAACAACTGCTGTGCCGAAGGCGTCATGCCTGCAGGCCAAGGGGCGACAGGGGGAGGCGAGCCTAGTCTGCTCTTACAGCAGACCTCTTTGCATACGGGTCAAGCCGGGATTCAAGCCGGGATTCCACGGAATGTCAGCATGAATCACAAAGGCATCCTATGAAGGGAATCTGGCTCAGGCACCTAAAGGTGTGAACTGTAATGACTGACCAATATCTCAGCATTGCCTCGCGGTGCAAGGTATGCTTCCTCCTCTTTGGCAGAGCAGACCACACCCCTGGCGCTTGCATTTAACGCTGCCCGTCTGCAGATGGGGTTTGGCGAGCTCAGGGTCACGGTTTTTTCAGGCTGTGCTGCCCTGTTGCGGGCAGAGATGCTGGGGAGTCCATGAATCTTCCGAGAAGTCAGGCATCCTCACAGCCTGGAGGGTGTTTCGATTTGCGTGTGGGATCATCAAGTCAAGGCTTGTTCGGATCCTTCGCCCTCGCAGGACACCGACTCGAGTGTGTCCTCGATCAACTTCACCGACCGAGATCTCGACGCAGACGAAATCGGAGGCCAGTGGCAGGATCTCTGTGGCTACGGGCGGGATGATCTTTCGATTTGTTGCAGGCTTTACGACTTTGCATGCCCTTGGCCGCCGATTCACGAGTTTATGGATGCTCCCTGTTGGTCCGGGTCATGGACATTGACAGACCGAACCCAGTAGCTTTAGCCAACACCGTCCCGGTCTGTGCACAACGCCTCAAAGCTGCCCAAGATCTCTTGTCTCGATGATGGAATTGTGCCATGCATTCCCCGTCGCTTCCATTGCGCTGTTGCACACGACTGCAGGCACCATCAGCTGGACCGAGCCTGCCGATCCTGCACTGGTGGCAAATTATGTTGCTTGGCAAATCTTGGCAAGCTGTCGCTCTGATTTGCTTGTCACTTGCGTACTGTTATCTCCATGAGATGTGGGATGCCGAAAGGTGCTGCTTTGCAGGTTGAGGTATGTTGAGGTCCGGAAGGGTACCAACATGCAGCTAGCTCCTTCATTGGCACATACGGCTTGCGGTTGTAGCTGTGCTGGAGAGTATCATGGTCAGTGAGTGCAGCTTGAGACACTGAAGATTTCGGATTTGTTTTTTGAGATGTGTTTCATGGACGAGCATTCACCATGAAGTACGAATTCTGCCGTCCGGACCGATTCTGCAAGGTCGTCTACATAGCCGAGGATCAGTTCGGCGGAAACCGATCACAGGCTCATCAGCCCTCACAGTCCTGCCACAACCCTGGGCTGGAGTGTTTTGAGCTGGAGCGAGTCGTCGGGACGGGTGGCGGGGTGTTCTTTTTATTCCCACTTGAAAGTGCAGCTGGCACGTACCAAAAAGCAAAGCAGATGGACGAGCAAGGTGGGTAAATGCATCATTTTCGCTGCTGGACATTTAGCCAAAAAGTCGCCGCTGCCGTGCCCAGCGCCTTGCAATGCAACGTCTCTAGACAATGTGGTTGCATGCACCAGACAATGTTGCAGGCGCAGTCAGACTGCAAAGGGTTTCGCTGTGTTGAAAGCTGTCTCCCAAAGTGTAAGACTCCTGCGTTCTCAAAGGCATCTGCTCGTCTGCTGCCTAAGGATTCAACTGCGACTTTAATTGAAGGGTCTATTGGTATGAGGACTGGCTGTGTCGCATCCTCAACAGGTGGGCTCCGAAGTTCCATGGAACTCTTTTGACATCAGCCTGCTACCGGAGCAGCCCATCCGCGAGCCGGAGTCTTGTCAGCTCGTCGCCTTTTCTGGCGGCACCAGCTTAGCAATGCTTGCGACCCTTCGGACTGGGTAAACTGATTTTGCAGCAACGGTCCCGCAGAGTCTTCTGGCATCGTTGGGGTGCGCCGGGGAACATTTGATGTTGCGTTTGAACAGCACGCATGCGAGGGATCGGTGGGATCTGAAAAGCCGTTGGACTGAAATCTGCCGGTTCCAGTCTCTCGGAAAGTTCCCTACATGGCTACTTATTGACGGTGCCCTTACTTTTGGCCAGCTATGGCTAGGGCTTCGGATTCATAAGTGTACTTTGGTTCCCAGGACGGTGCGGCGCGGTCCGAGTACTCACAGGTCCTCGCAGCTTGGCTGTTGACAGTTGAGAGAACCAAAACTGGACCTTCGACGTGCCTGCGAGCCCGAGCACCCAGGTCTACACCAAGTCGACACTTGCGGAGCAGTCGACCCCCATCAGTGTCTCGATTGCATCGTAGCATCGTCGTGTCAACCTGCCGCCTCCGTGGGACATTTTTGCATCCAGTCAACCATGATCACCCAGAGCTTGCAATTCACACCGCGCTTCTGCAGACCTCCAGGGACAGAAATTTGCAGCTTAGCTTACATGGAGCAGCTGGAAACGAAGCTGCAGCTTCTGTGGCCGAAAGTTTACAGAGCCTCCATCGGTCCATCAACTTTGCGTCTTTGCGTCAGGCCTCGTGCTTGTAGTGTGCCCTCTCGACCGGGAGGCTTTGCCATCGTGGACGTGAATGCCTCTGTCAGTGGCGGAGCCTTCCAAGAGCAGGAGGGGTCTCATGAGCGGAGCAGCACCTCGGGTTGCGACTCAGCACCTTCCACACGTGGCAAAGGACCTTGATGAGGCAGAGCTTGGCGGACCAATTACCTGGAAAGCACCGGCCGACCTTGGACTCTATCAATTAACGGCTGCTATGTTTGCCATGTTTCCCATACTTGTATCAGAAAGCCCGATTGCATGCTGTTTGGGGATCCCTGCATTTGCCTTCAAGTCGTGTTGCTGGACGATGCCGGGTCGAGCATGATGAAAGGCGAACACGTGACGGAACAATTGAACTGGTGGCTTTCAGGATCTTTCAGCTGAAACCAGAGGTTATAGAGTGAAAGATGGTGAAAGACAGTGAGCATCTCCGGAGTGCAAAGTGGTTCTCAAATTTGCTTGCGCTCAGGACCTGACACAAGTCACCCATTATGATGTTTACTTCGCTGCCGGACTGATGGACGTATAACACTTGCTGGGCCGCAGTATCTTCGCACTTTTGTGGGTTCTACTTTACTTGTAGATCAGAAAGGTGGCTTTTCTGCTGTTGCTACTGCGGGGATGGTGGTTGAAAAAAGATCTCATCGAAGCAAGACAGTAATTAGCCTGTTCGGGGATTACCGGGTTTAAGGCCTCTGAACGTGCGGCTATGGACGCGTAAACTGCAGCCGTTTGGAAACATTTCGAACTCAAGCTTTGCGTTTTGGCGCCAGATGCTAGTTTTCACATGTTTTAACTCTTGCAGCTTGCGAGTAGAAGTTTCGAACCAGACCGTCTCCAGTTTCATTCGTCAGCTGTAGCCGCAGCCTGTAGTGACATGCTCTTCGCCACGTAGTCTGTATGAGACACGCAGTCGCATGCAGTCAACGTTGAAACTCAAGCGCCCAGACTCTGAGGTTGAATTCCCGGACGCTACGGGAACGAATCGCTCGCAGTTGGGAGATTCTGTCGAGGCATGATGTGTCGCAGTTCTAAAAGAACCTTCCTCTTCACTTGCCCGCTCTTCGAAGGCGTTGAGGTTTTTAAATGCGGACGGAAGCCTGCTTTTTGGGGTTTGTCAGAGGGCAACCGATGTTGGCGGCCGGAGCGCCGCTGCAATTTGGCAGGGCTGAAACTGACCTCTCTGGCCGCCGCTTTGCATCTGCTTTTCGGTTGAGATTCTTCCTATGAGATTCAATACGGTGGCTGCTAACTTCTCACTTCTCGTGCTTTGTGCCTGCACGTCAGCATCAAGTCGTCGGTGCTTGCTTCGCCCTGCTCCACAAGCTGTGGAATGGTTCTGTGCGATTCGCTGGCGGCAGGTCGGTACGAACATCATTCACGTTCCCGCAGACTTCCTTCAGGGCGCGTTGTCGCACATCCAGGTCTACACCCGCCCCCCTGCTGCAGTGCAGACTCGACACTGCATCTGCATAATAAATTCAAGTTTGTCAATTTGCAGCTCGGGTCTCTTGCTGCAACGTGGAATGAGTCCGGTTATTCTCAACTTGGCCGCAAGCTGAGGCTCTTCGCTCGTGGAGCAGTCTACACCGCATGTTTTCGTGCCCCGGCGGAGCCCTGCCAGTCATGTGCAGTGAGAGTCTTGAGTTTTCTGCTTTCACGGAGGGTTTGAGTTGAGATCAGGTCATCAACAATACGAACGCAAGCGTGTCCAGCATCGAATTCTTGGATGACGATTTGGATGACAAGGAGCTCGGTGGCAATGTGACGTGGTTGCCTCCGGATGACATGGCGCAGGCGACTCCGAAGTATGCCTACTTAGCACATCTCCTGCTTCTGGCCGTTGCGTTCCTATCCTGTTCTGTAGCTAGTGCACTCGATGTCGATTGTACCTGATCGCTTTGTTTTTTTCAGTCATCGCTGTTGCTAAATTGAGCGACCTATCGACTAGCCTACGCTTTGGACCTTGAGAGGTGTCACGCTTCGTTTCCTACCTTGCATCTGATGCCTTCGGTGGCTCGCGCTCCCAGTGACTTGCCGAGATACTGCAAGTTTCTTGAAGTTGCAAATGCGCCCCGGTCCCAGTCTGCCTGCGGATCCATCTTAAATCTTGAAGATGTTGCCATTGTGTTTTGGGGGAGTCTCACTTGCAGACGCAAGGCACATTCATCAAGGGACGCTCGATATCTTATGACTGGAGTTTCGTCTTCAGCATATTACAGACACTGCAGAGGAGAGGCATCGCGAAGCCGGAAGAGACTTAAGCGATGCACAGGATTGCCAATCAACCGTTCGACACAGAGGAGGCCTTCGTGCAGCCAGTGCCCTGGCTCAACATCAAAAATTAGGATGTGCTCTGTATGGGCTCCAGGAAGGCTCCATCGTTTCATGCCAGGGAGCTGTCAGACTCCCGCCTTCTCGGGCAGAGGGAATTTCGGCGTCCAGATACCGAAGACGTGTGCGTTGCAGCCTCAAGCCGTTCAGCGAGTCAGGAGCAGCCCCTGCAGAACTACTCCCATGTACTTGTGTACACCAGGCACTGCAGAGCGGTGCCTTTCAGGATTTGTGTCGCGCATTGCTTTTTGAGTCTAGGGTTAGTTAGCGCTTTGGGCCTCTACGCCAACTACTGTGCTTGCCTTTAACCCGGATACGTGTGGCAATTCGCAGACTCAGACTCAGACCTCATGCAGTTCCCTCATCGATTTCGGGACCTTTGGGCCTTTCATGGTTTTGGGAAGCTTGGGTCGTGGGTCTCGTCTTGATAAGAGATCACACTCGACAACCCAAAACCAAAGGCCAGACAGGAGTTGAGGGTCTTGTATGGAATGCCCTGATCATGATCCAGCTCATGTTGTGATAGACTAGATCGCCAGCCTGCCGATATCTTAAATATGTATACATTTCCTGCTCGGCTTCAGATTTATCATTCTTGTATCAGACATAGACATGATGTGATTGATTTGTGTGCACATGTCACAAGCCCAGACTCTTGCACGTTTGTGTGCATACATGCGCGCAAAGGGCTGTAGCACAGAACTCCTGAAATCTCCGTGAGCACGAAGACGAGCTGAGCTGCGCCAGGTCGATCTTGGCCGAGCAGAGCACACCGGCAAGTCTGCCCATAAGTATCCAAGCAGCAGTTCCTTCTCGGTTCTAGTCGCAGGGTAGGGCACCAACAAGCGGTTTCTTAGCCGCTGCCAATGTGGCAAAGTCGGCAGCGCTTTGCGCACCCTGGGAACCAGCTGAGCCCAAGGGGCTTCTATGGGAACAGACGATCATAAAGGGCTCTTTTGACCGCTTGAGGTTTTGGAATCCTGCACTTTGTTGTAAGGTGTCAGTAATTTCGAAGGTAACAGCCTATGTCTTGGATGACTGTGACTGTGCAACGACAAAGATCGGGGCCTGGAGAGCTGTCTCAGACGATGTGCCTGAGTGCGTGTGAATGTGAGGGTCAACGACCAGATTGGTTCAATCCGGGAATGCGGTTAGTGTTACGAGGTGACACCTTCGCCACGGTGCGAAATGCCGACTTTTTGGATCAAGATCTGGACTACGATGACCTCGGGGGTACGCACCCCTGCTGCATCTGCATCTGCATTGCAGTGTTCGCAAGATTTCTCTTCCCAGTCCACGTCCAGTGACTTGCAGTAGCTTGCAGTTCCGAAGTTTGGACAGCTCAGGATTCAGTGGAATCCGCCAGCAGCTGGGCTCATTAGACTGGTTGTAGCAAGTCCGCCTGCTTGTCAGCCCCAGGCCGACAATATCAGAACGACTGACTACGTTCTGTACCTGTCTGTTGGTGCTGATGGAACTGGCCGGCAGAAGGTGCCTCAAAGGAAGAGCCTATTGCTGTTGCGACATGTATAAGAAGTGAAAGCCGCAGTTGGCACCTGGGCCGCGGAGGTGGGACAAGAGCTCGTCGGGACGAACAAGCTCCTGCTTTTGCCTGACACTACGAGGGCAGCTTGGAATGCAAGACAAGCTATTGTCAGAATTGCACTTGAGGCGACAGAAGGACCACGCATGCCGTAATTGGAAGCCTGGTCTACCGACTCGCTTTTCATATCTCTTGCTGGGATGTCCTCGGAGTGCAATGGGTTTTGCAAATAGGAGCATGTCGGCGATGCGGACAACCAGTCAAGAGAATGAACTTGATGTGCCCAGGGCCAACTTGGCTTTGTGACCGTTTTCACACGCTCTGTGCTCCTGGAACAGACCACGCCAGTCCGTGCCTCAGATCCTCAATGCTTCTTTCAAAGGACGACGCTTAAGGACTTGTCTGTAGCTGTAGAATCACTGTAGAAACACCTGTAGATGTTTATTTGCCTGTCTACCCATCTATCTATCTCTATCTAGTGACTAGTGTTTGCGTTTCTTGTCTTGATCTGTTCCTAGACAAGCATGGAAGGCAGGCATGTCTGACTGGTTGTTCAGCATCTTTGCGTTGATGAGATGCCGCTTTGGGAGTGGCCTCGCTGTTCATTTAGCCCGACACGTGCGTTTCAATGTGCCGCGTTTCGGAGGCGGCAGTGGCAGTAAGCGACACGATTGCCAGCGTGTCGGGAGTTGACGCTTGGTTGGATCTGAAGCATTGCCAAGGGTTTGCTGCCCGAAGCAAGGTTTCCATGTTGAGGTGATTCGAAGTGTCGATACGATGAATCGACGGTGAACACCATCTGTTTCTGACAGCTCTGCACATTCAAGGACTTTCTGGATTTGGACCTGGACGAGGACTTGTGGGTTCTTTGAGAATAGTGGACCCAGGATCTCTAAGATCTCTTGTTGCCGTGACAGCCTCACTCTTCGACTAGTGCCCAAGTGGCCCAAGTGTTGAGATAGGAAGGGAGCAGCCGGAATGCTAACTCAGTTCAGATTGACACCTTTCATGCACGCTGGCGTGCATTCGCACTGTTCACAGGGTGAAGTTGGCGGAACCCTGACATGGGATCGACCGCCTGATCGACAACAGGCACCAAATGCTGCAGTTTCAGTATAGATCTTGATCGATCTGACCTCATAGGACGATGCTTCTTATAGAAGTCCACTTACACTGCCATCACTGCCTTTGTGCTCCCGAAGGTGGTGTACTACAAGCTTTACTTCAGTGTTGCAGATCCCTTTGCTGCGGGCCAGCATGTGAATGGTACACAGGACCAGCGTCGTGTTCTCGCCAAGATGTTGTTCCTATTGGGCCGAGTCGTGTGAGTGCTGCTTCACGAGGACTGGCTCAAGATCCCCAATGGTTCCGTTGATGTCAGCCTGGCCGAGGTGGACTTGGCCCCGGAAACTTGGCAGCACAGCAGACTCGGACTGAAATACTTAGCACTTCGCTGTGCCATTCGCCGGCTGAGGACTTTGCCCTTAGCGGCGAGAGCCATGTACTAATCTACACGCAGTCTGCTCTGGCTGAGCCCTTTGGCAAGCACACAGACGGCAGCTGCAGACATCGTGCATCCTGCACAGTCGCAAGCTCCGAGCAAGTTTGACAAGAAGGGTGCCACAGGAAAAGTTAACACAGTAGAACTTGCAGATTTTCCTAGTCATCAGTTGCTGTATATGCCACTGCCGATTGTGTAGCTTGTTGCTTTGCGAACCTTCGCTCGCGCTTTGCTTGTGTAGGGTGCTGAAGCATGTTACCTGGGCCCTTTGTACAAAAACTCGCACTCCTGCAAGCCTGAGGCAAACCACACCGGTGGGCAACCCTCTGAACGATTCCATTGCAGTTGTTAGACTCTGGCTCAGCAAGCAGATCTTACATGAGTTTTGCCTTCGTGACATGTAGTAGTTTCGATGCATGCACGCGGCATATTTTGAGCATACCGTCAATCTAGAGAGTTCGACCGCTCGACCACCGTTCTTCTCGGTCGATTCGTTTTTGTTCTCTATCTCTCGCCTCACCAGCTGAGGAGTGAGACTAATCGTCGCAACGGGTCTTGTGTCCTTACATCATTACTCCGAGGAAACGTCTCCTTCACAGACCTTGACCTGGACGATGACGAGCTGGGGGGAAATGTGCCCCAGCCAGAAGGTTTGCTTGCTGTGTGTCTGGCGTTGGGCAGCAAGTCTAATCGATGGGTTTGCTCTCTCCTTGACTGACTTGGAAAAACCTATCACCTGCTTGTTTGACTTCATAGCTGCATTCAGCATCCTGAACCTGAAGCATTGTGCAGATTCGACAGCATGCCACTTCTGAGCCATTGTTTGACCTGCTGACAACAATCCACCGACATCGCTTGTCAGCAGCAGAAAGTACGGAGTTTGCGTCAGACGATCTCGTCGAGAAGATCGCTTTGCTAAGCTGCTTCCGAATCGTTGAGTTTGAGCAAAGTAAAGCTGCCGAACGAACTGCCGAAGGACGAGGAGCTTTTCCTCTCGAGCTACAGTCAGCTCGACACATCACGGCCCGTCGAAGTTGAAGTTTCTGAAAGTTTGAATACCAATGCACCAACCATGCCACGGCTTCCGGTAAGTAAGTGTACCAGCCAAGCGGTGCAGCGGTCGACTCGGTCAATCCCGGTCATCTTGGCCTTCACCCCAATGTAAAAAGGGAAGAGTCTTTCGACTTGCGTTTCCATCCGACTGGTCTTGAAGAGTCGGTAGATAACTGTATACAGTTATGCAGTGTCACGGTGATGAGACCGTCCTTGTCGATGACTTCATCTGTCAAAGAATGCACCGACCATCTTGAGTCTTGAGTTTGAAGCAATCTGTTGAGCCGCAGCATTTGATCACCAATCTCCGTGTTTCGAAGATAATGGCAAGCCCATGGGCCCAGTGTGCCCTCATCGCCCGCGCATTGGCGTAGCGTGTGCTATGTGGGTCATGGGACAGGAGCATGGATCCTGTTCAACGAACTTGGGGATTGGATGGTACCTTGACAACCAAAGAGACAGTAATTAGCCTAAACTTCACTGAAGGCATGTGAACAGTGAACCTGAAGCAGAAGGTCAAATACCTGGCTGGACCCGCCCTGGAGATATTGACGTGCCACCACTTCCCTCGGCCCCTGCGGGTTTTCAAGACAGGGACTCCCGACTCAGCCTTGCTTCTTCCAGGTGACGTGGCTAGACCCTCCACCGGAGCAGCGACCGGACCTAGTTGATTTCGTGGACGTTTACTTGTCAGAGGACCGGGTCGCCTTCGTTGTCGAAGCACCTCGCGCTTCATGGGCGTACAGCATAGTAGGGTAGCTGCAGAGGCTGTGGTTTTCCGAATCATATGCGTGCCACAAGCACAAACCACAGTCCTCCCCCAAAGTTGTAAGTTCAATGAGAATCACGATGGCGCAGAGCTCTGCTGCATGTGTTGGCCGTCGTCAGGGCAGGGCAGGGACGAAAAAAGAATCAGCACATATCATTCGTTTTCCTCCCGATCATGGGCAGCGAGAGGTAAGTGTGCTTCAGCCGGGCGCCACATCTCACAACATAATGAGTTGCCACATGCACACACAGAGACAGACAGCAACGAGCCAGGCAATGTGCATGCATTTCTTCCGCAGGACACCCAAGGCGCTGGCCGCTCTCAGATCCAAGCTGGGCAGGCGGGTTATTGGTCTCCACCCCTGCGACCGCGCGACGTGCATTGAAGACTTGACTTACAGAGTCGACAGTCGACAGCCAGAAGTCTGGACTTCTGGACTCTATCGCCGTCGTCCCTCAATGCACCCACAACTCCAGCATCTTCATTCTTTCGGCAATCGCCCTGCTGATACAGGCCTCTGCAGACACCATTGAGCTGGCTGCTGAGACAGCTTTGAGGCTCCATGCAAGAGGGCTTCCATTCAGGATGGGGGCGTGGGAGATTTCGAATTTTGCCTGTAAGCTTGCCGCGAGCAGCAGCGACAAAGCTCGCTTAAACAAGATCGACCACTGTGAAGACAGCTGGCTGCCGCTGCTTGCAGTTTTCACCCTGGCGCATAGAGACTAAACAGGTTTCCTTGTGCTTGTCGATTAGTTCCTCAGAGTCGGGAGGATATACCCCAGGATTGAGGTGAACGCGCAAGCAAGATTAGCACGAGGGCTCTTCTTGTCCCGGAGAGGTCCTTTCGTCACATTCTGGTCTTCACTCGCTCCAGCCTCGCGGAGCAGTCCACGCCCATGGCCTTCCCGCTCCTCGGATCAAGCTCTGCGTGAAAGGGCATCGGGCCGACGCCCTGTGTCGGCCAGCAATGCGTACTCAGTAGTTCCGAACACGATGTGGCCTTCAGTCGAGCCTATGCAATGCAGCACCAAAGCCAAGGATCAGTGACACAGACCGCTATGTTGCGAGTCTTTCTTTCACCGATCAGGACGTGTTCCATCAAGTTCTCGAATCATTTGGCTTCGCGGGACCACAGCTCATTGCTTCATGACGACATGGCAACTGGCAGAAGGATCAAGGCAAGTCTCAAATCCAATCTTTCAAGCAGCACAGTGTCGATGCACAAAGACTTCTTAGAAGCGTGTGCCGTGGAGCGTTTCGAGATTGGAAACGCAGGACTTGGACAGGGAGGAGTTCGGCGGCAATTTGAGCTGGCAGCAGCCGGTTGTCGCTGGACAGCGAACGCTTTGGATTGTCATCAGCTACAAGTGCCTGTGCATGTGGGCTTTGCATGGCCGGCATGTTTGTCGATGCATGCAAGACTTCGGTATTGTAGATAGTAGCAGCCGAAGGAAGGTCTCGTTTTGTGTTGTTTTGTGCAACATTTCCGGACGGTCAGGGCATCATGCTTCGCACATCTGAGGATGCGAGCCTGGTTGCACACTATGTCGCCTACCTGGCCACAACACCGGTTGGGTCAGACAGAGCACACGTAGCGGAGTTGGAGGCCGTCGTTGCTGTGGAGAGCTTGAAAGATCATGTGCGAGCTGATGTGAATAGCTTGAACTATGCGCCAGATCTCTTCTCTGTTGGGACAATCTGCTGTTTGTTGGCATTTGTTGATGTCGCGAGATCTCGCGAGGGTTTTCAGCATTGCTGATCTGCGTGGGCTGTCACCTTCCGTTCCTCTGGGATGTTCTGTCCTTCCGATCTTTGGGCATCTAGAAGCTCCCTCTCGCTCTCTCTCTCTCTCTCTGTCAAACTCTCTCTCTCTCTATCTCTCTCTCTCTCTCTCTTTCTCTCTCTCGCTCTCTCTATCTNNCTCTCTCTCTCTCTCTCCCCGGTTTCATCGACCGGACTTTCTTCCCGAAACCAGAACAGAATTAGAGTAGGGCCTCAAACCTGCGAATGGGAACGCATGTGAAGACATCTCTGCCAGGAGCATGCCGCGGCAGATTTAGGTACTTGGAATATGCACACATGCCAGTCTTCAAGATGCTGGCAGGCAGGATCGACGGTAGTCGCCATCAGCGAAGACACGGCTGTTCCTTGGAGAGATGTTGCCCTGGAAACAGCCGAGCTCATCAGAATACCCTTGCAGTCACTTCGCTTGCGAGACCGGAGGTGTCAAGTTTAGAATACACAGCCGGGACTCTGAACTCGTCCAGGTTTGTCAGGTTCGCCAGTTGGAGTTTCAAATCATAGAGGGCTTTCCTTAGGTTGAGAATTACACCCATCTGCTCCTCTACACCAAGTCCATACTGGTGGATGCCTGGCGAAATGAAGAGGTCTGCTGAAGATTTCGGCTCAAGCATGACACCGACAGTGGCCTGGTTTTTGAGATAGCTTCACGATCTTCGTGCTGCCGCCCCAAGGATGCCCCAGGCCCGAACGAATTGCCTTGAATCGAATTGACTTAGTCTGTGTGTGGGTGGGTGTTTTTTTTTGTGAGGATCCTTCGGGTCGAATGTGCGCGCCGTATGCATCGAAACATCAAAGCTTCTAGAATCGATGGCCGTGCGGTTCCGAGTGCATGCAGTGTGGCGGAGCGTCTCAGGCTGGCAGATCATGGGAGGGCTCTGTGAGGATACTAGCAGCTTACTAGCATGGCTTGTCAGGGCCTCGCAGCCTGATGGCTCTGCAACTGGACAACGCTGGAACCTGTCAGAAAACCTTCGAGAGTTTCTCAATGGGTGCTCACAACATTTGTCGGGCAGATCGAGACCCTTCAAAGGCCTGCGACTGGGAAGGCTAACATGAAAAAGATATGGCTATGGGAAAGAGAGCAAACAGATAGGACAAACGAGATTACAGGAGTGCCTGGGAGTTGGAAGCTGCCGGGATGGCCCCAACAACCCTGTTGGTGCTTGACCTCCGCAGAATCGTATATCAAAACTGCGTTCGAGTCAAGCAATGTGTTGCTAAGTATTGCAGATTCGCTATCGTTGAGAATCTCGACACCGAGCCTCAAGATCCAATTGCAACTGTCTCAGCGCGCTTGCCGGCTCGCCTATCCCGTGCAAGCCGAAAAATTGCTATGCTTGTCCACTGAGGAGCAGACCACCCCTGTGGCTGTAAACATCAGTGACACTGTGGCGAGCGTGTCGTCAGTTGAATTCGTAGACCAGGCTCGTCTCCGATGAGACATGCAATGAATTGGCAAGGTTGAGGATTTCGGATTTGCAAGGTTGAGCGCAAACTTGTTGCTTGGACTGGAGCCGTCAAACTCGCCACAAACTCAAAGTCTGTGGAAATCTATGCCCTGTGCCAGCATACACCCTAATCACCCAAGAACTATCGAAAATTCACCCATGAGACCCCATGACCGTCCCGTGAGTCCAAAATTCCGACTGCACTGTGGCAGGAAACGAGTCCCAACCTAAATTGTGCACGGAAGCAAGATTCTTAAAGACACAAATACGCGTCGCAGCCAAACTATTCACAGTGGGGTGTTCGACTGTACATCTACAACAGGACTGGACCTAGGACAGCCCGATCTCCCCTTCCACCGATATTCATGGGGAAAATGTTCGGAGTCTTGAGCCTGTGGAGGATCTGGCAAGCAAAGGGTTGAGCGATAGTGTCTCTTGTAGCGGATGGAGGACCTGGATATTGATGACCTCGGTGGCGATGTCGCGTGGGCAGAGCCCGTCAGCGACATTGAATATGTCCACTTCTACGATGTGTGCTACACCCAGGAGATAACCTCGAAGCCGGTACTCCCACCTTTAAACATTTCGCCTGGCCGCCTCAGGTATCTTGCCAACAGCAGTGCTGGTGCATTCCGCTCGCAGCTGGGGCATCCAATACCACAGGGCCTGGCGCAGACGAGAGTGCCCGTGGATTTGACGAAGGACGGCAGAGTCGTAGAAGTGCTACAGGAGTCGAAGGTGCATCTTCTAAACTAAACCGTGACATGCCTGTACAATCATGTTTGCAGCCTTTGCATGTGTCGCCGTGCAAGAGCTGAGACGTCCATAAATCATTGTCTGCTGGGCTGTCTGAGCATCGGGTCGCTAGGGAAACGAGAAGGACGGCCTCACAGATTGTGCACCCACAACCCTGGCGACTGTTGTCGATTGGAGCCTGGGATGTCGTCTCGGGTTGACCGACTAGGTTGCTACGACATGTTCAGTCTCGGGTCGCTGGCACTTTTCGCATCATCGTCGCTGTCTTTGGAAGCTGCATGTTGTGTTGAAACTCCTCGCAGCGAGGGGCTCTTCAGCGACATCGTTGTCTACACGCGCTCCGTCCTTGTGGAGCAGACAACTCCGGTCGGGGTGGAGATCAGCGACACCTCATCCGACGTGCAGAACGCAACATGGCTGCGTCTGAGTGAAGCGCTCGAAAGTCTTTGCAGCCTCGGAGACCGATAGAGCGAAGATCCCAGGTGACGTTCACAGATCTTGACCTCGATCTCGGGGACGTCGGGGGGCACGTCCACTGGGAAACTCCGCTGGAGTCCTCCCAGGCACGACAGCACTGCCGCCCTGAAATCCTTCAGAGGTAGAGCCCTGTCGTCACAACTGTTGGCGGTGATGTTTCTGGCCGGAAAATGTCTACAGGTGGCCGCTTATCGTGTGTACCTGGCGCTGCTCGCCAACTTCATCTTTCCGTCTTTCTCTGCAAGGGCTCAGTTTCTGGAGGTAACCGCACGATTAACAGCATTTCTGAGTTTCAGAGCCTGCAAGGCTTGAACCCTTTGGCTTTACAATGTGCAGTTGTCAGTGTGTGTGTGTGTGTGCGTGTGTGACTTGATTGCGCGACATTGCACGATGGCACGACCGGAAAAACTCTTCCTTGGAAGAACCCAGGTTCGATGAAACCGGCAGCTCACGGTCCCAAATCGGTGCAGAGGTCTTTGTCAACTCGCAGGGAGCCCGGACAAAGAGCCAACAAAGCACTCGGAGTTCGGCTCTTATAGGTTCGGCGCGCATTTTTCGGCCCGAAGGTCTCTTCGCGTTGCCCTCTTAGAACCAGATCACACAACTGGCTCCTACAAGCGTCTGTCTCAGAGGGACTCCTGAGCGCCTGTCAGCTTTGAATCAAGGGGATCGGCGTCCTTACATGTTGCAGGTCGTTCGCAAAAATTGCCGTAAGCTACAGACGCGGTACCTTGCGTCTTTTCATAGGTTCAGCCGGCAATAGCAGGCACAAGCAGACATGGTTTCACACCTTTGCAGACAAGGCAAATCACCGTGTACAGCAAGTCTGACCTTGCTGAGCAGACCACCCCAGTCGTGCTTCAGCTGGACAGAATGCAGGCTTCCCTTACTGGAGATGTGTAGGTCGGGTTGGAATGTCTTTTAAATGTGGCGAGTTCAGTTGGCAGAGTTGGGCATCAGAAGTGCAGCACCAAACCGAAACAACCTGGTTGTCTCGTATCTGCATTCACTGGCTGTTCAAGCATGTTGTCGCTTCTTCAGGAACTTTGTTTTATGGTGCTTGCCGCCCAAGGCATTCCAGTTGCAAGACACCGAGTCCGTTGTGACGGACACGAACTTCACAGACCTTGATCCCTGGCCACGTCCGCAAGGTCCGGGTCAGGAGGCATTTCGGTCGGTGATACAGGTACCACTAGAGGGCGGACCTTCACGGTGCCCTCTGGGTAAGAGCTCAGTTGACTGCATCAGTAAAAATCGAGCCAAGTTTCTCTGGCATCTTGCGAGGGAGCTCGGCCAGAGCTGCAGGTTCTGTCCTCCTTCTCATATGCTGTACCCGACTCTGCTGAGGATCTGGATGGTGCAGAACTCGGTGGTACCATCTTTTGGTCGCCTGCTGGGGACACGCACTTGGTGGTCGCCTACGACCTGCGACCAGAGCTGCACATGGGGGTCTGCACTTAAAAAGGGTACACTTTGTGGGCAATTGTGAGTGTAAATCTCGACCCTGCATATCTCCACGGAGGCGAAAGAGCACACAATTGCAGCAGTTCCACCCTATCAATCACACCACACCCGAGACACATCTCACTTCCGGTGATGGTGAGCGCAAGGTACTTGAGCGAAAGCGCCTCTGGGGAGTCTCTGTCTCGCATCAATGCAACCCGGATGCATTACGATGGTGGTCGCTGATGAAGCTCTTCAATCAGTCTTCAGCCTTTGAGCGCATTGGTTTGTTTTCGACTGAGTGAGGACTTGAACTCAGCATCTAGCGGTAATTAGCCTGTAGCGTGAGGGAACATCGCTGGCAGGCTGGTGTCGCAGAGCTTTGGGAGTAACTCAGTAGTTAAGATCATATTTCGTGCAGTCACCATCATCCAGTCTGTCACGGGCAGGTTGCCCCTACCTTTCCGATGTCATCAGCATCACCGGATTTTGGTGTGCAGCCAGCTGTCGCTTGAGTCGTTCTGAAGGTCCTAAACCCGGCTAGCCAGCGTCCCGCCGAGGAGTCCTTGCCTGTCGGCACTCACGATCTCTTTGTGCCTCCTGAACTCCCACTGGGCAAGAGCACACACATCGCACCTTGGTCACGGGAATATGGTGGGGAGCAGTGTTCGTCTAACCTTCGCTTTATGTTTCCGAAGCTATGCTGTGGTCACGAGCGTGGTGCAACTTAGAGTACTGAGTAGGAAAGGAGCTGGAGCTATTCATGCCAACACCTACATGGCCAGCTAAGGCTAAATATAGCGACCAGTGTGATATGTCCCCGTCAGCAGTACTTGCCGGAGCTCCGATTCAATAAGCTGGTTTCGAGCAGAGCTCATTTCATGTTGCTTGATGCGCGATCCGGCTCTCGATAAAGCCATTCTTGCCCCTCACTGGTTGGTCCACTTCCAAAAGCTGACTGAGGTGATCTTTACTCGGTCTTCCTTGGTTGAGCAAACCACGCCTGCCTTCATCAACATCAGTAGCATACCGGCACTTGAGTTCGCTTCTTTGAGTTTCTAGTTGGCCACGCAGTGCTGTATCACGATGAACTATGGATGGCTATGGGTTCTTGCATTAGGAATTAGGAGTTGAAAAGACTTGGTTAGCATGGCCGCCGGCGCCTCTGCGAAACATTTTGCAACAATCGCGGCCCTCGCTGTGGCATCGTGCATAATTTCGTGCTCGTGTCCTTGAATTTTCAGCGGATCGGGGTGGACACGGGTCTTCGGGAAGCCGGCTTCTTTGTAAACTACAATCATACATGAACCACCTGTTGGCTCCGAAAGCCTTGAATCGCAGCAGTACTTGGCGAAAGGACTTTGTGCGTCCTTCTGTATCCCGCCAGTATTTTGGGGAAAGCATGTTGGCCATCCTGGATCCATTAGTCTTCTGAATCCTCCTACCCGCCAGAAAGGAGTGTGGCCGTGTTTTGGTGGTCTCATGCGGGCCTCCTGGGGTCTCGTGATTGTCCGAGTCGTAGTAGTCGTCGTGATGGTCTCGGGCGTCCTAGTGGTCGTGGGCGTCATGGTCGCCGTGGTACTGGTTCACTGTTGGGGATCTACGCTGGCCTAATACCCAAAGTGTTGTCGTTCGGCCCTAAACCACAAGCCGCTTCCTTGGGAGGTTTCGAAAACGCATTCAGGATAGCCTCGGATAGTTTGTCGAGGTGATGCGGATTGGAATGTGCCAGAGGTGTGGTGGCCTCAGTCACACGTCGAAGTATCGACCACTTCCGACCAATAGTGCGAGGTCTTTCTTCGATATGGACCTAGTGGCTGGGCGTGCAACATCAAGTTTCGATTCCAGGGCTGGCGGGACACGAGCCTATGCCGGAACCCATGATTATACTCCAGAAATCGTCGGCGTGCAGAAGGCATTTGCAAGTTTCTCGATCCTCTTTCCCTGTCGACCCTCTGTGCGCGGAGGACGGGGGTGACTTCGGTGGACAGGCCTGCGGCCTGATACTGGTCGGACAGTTTTGCGTTCGAAGAAGTTTGAACAGTTCTTCTTGTTTCCATGCAGCTGGTCTCAACCCGTGGAAGTTCATTGCAAGTATCATGGAGCGACAGCACCCAAGCTTTCGAGAAGGTGAGCTGGTTGCCGCCAGCTGAAGTCGTGCTCGTGGCCCACTACTCCGTGCTTTGGCCAGAATTGGCACTCCCTGCCTTACGCCGAACCCCAATAAGTTTCGGGCTCCTTGGATCAACAACTGCATGGAGTTGCCAAGTTCAGAAGTGGATTGTGGCCCGCACATGTCAGGAACTTTGCAGCGGGTTGAGCCTCAAAATGTGCTAACCGAACCCCAGAACAGCTCTGACACGTTCGAGCCCCCCCTTCGTGTTCGGCGGTCTCAAGTCTCTGCAGTCGCTTTCCAACCTGAAGACATCAGCGCTAATCAGCTTCAAGAGATGTTGACTTATCTTACTGGAATTTCACCAGGTCTATTTGGCTGCGAACGCCTCTGGCGACCTCCGTTCCCAGATAGGCCTCTTGGCCTTGGCCGAAGATTGATTGTTAAGGATGTTGCTGTCAAATTTGGCTGTCTGGGACGTGTATGTCGAAGCTAACTCGAATCGTAGTCATACTTAAGCTTGTGCCGTTCTGCACTGCAGGGCTGACGACTTGTTCATTCTCCTGCCCCCAACCTGAAAGCCCCTTATCGAAGGCCAAGAACGCAAATAGGAGCTGCGCTGGAGGGTTGAAAGCTTGGGAACCCAGTGTTTTCGATCTGAAAAATGCCGCGATCTGAAAACTGCGGGAGTCTCGGAAGGGACTCTTGAGGTCAGGATATCCCGAAGGGCACGAACTATGTCGACCTCCTGCCCGAGCAGCCACAAGGACCCGGGCGTAGTACCATGAGCTGAGCGCCCACGTGCTCCTTCATTCCGAACATATCTTCAACCCCCAAACATCTCGACAATGGAGGCACTCAGGCGTTCGTACTGCCGAGAGGACCCCACTCTCACATCGTTGTCTACACGAAGTCCACGCTGGTCGAGCAGACCACTCCGTCCTTCCTCGAGCTCAATGACACCGCCTCTTCCGTTTCGGGGATTGTGCTCCTCAGCCTGAGATCCGCCATGACAACTGGAAGGACCCAAAATCTGCAGTAGGTCCTTTGATGTTCCTTGTAAAACTCCGTTGGAATGTTAGTTTCACTCGGTGTCGCTTTTTTGCCTCACGTCACCCGGAACCCACCCGCCCATCCCGGAACGCCGGGACCCGAACCCGGAAAATCCCGGAGCCGGAACCCAGAACGTGGGACCCAGGCCTGCCTTGCAAGAAAACGCTACAAACGAGATCCCCCAGTTCAAAGCGTTGCTCGATCCTGCTAGTTCTTTTTCCAGCACGCGGGGCCACAAGTAGTGGAATCCACAAAATCACGGCTCGCCGCTTTGAGTGAAGGTTCGTTGACCGAGATCTTGACGAAGAGGAGCTTAGTCTTGTGCACGGGGCGGACTGGGAATTTAAGACGGCTTTAGCACTTGAGGGTCAGTGCTAGCTCCCTCTCTCTCCCCCTCCCCCTCCTTTTTCCCCTCCCTCCCTCCCTCGCTCGCTCGCTCGCTCGCGCGCTCTCTCTCTGTCTCTCTCTCTTTCTCTCTCTCGCTCTTTCGCTCCACGATCTTGCAGTCAATGTGGCCGGGAGCATTCAGGCCGGCGTCATGCCGCAGCAGAGCTAGCTTACCATTTCCTTGACAACCATGCCACCCCGGTCCGAAAGCTTGACATCGCTTTGAGTGTCATCCGAGGGAAAGCATGGCCAAAGCCTGGCAAGCCTGCGGAGGAGCTAGGAGGCGATATTACTTGGGTCAAGCCCATCGACTTCTCGCAAGTCACGCTCTACTCGGTGGCATGGCGTCAGACTGTTGCGTGAGGTGTAAGATCTCAGTGGCGGACTATGTAGATATAGCGCAACTCCAAGAACGCCTGTAGGCCGCATTCCAGCTGCGAGTTGCCTGTTGAGATATTAGTGACGACCACGTTTTAGGCTTGTTCAGGTTACCCGGTGTCAGCCGACAGACAGCTCGGAGTCTTGCAAGGTGGCCACGATTATATTCTGAATCTTTTGACTGATGACAGCTTCTCTTAGACTCCTTGCACCAGGAAGTGCGATCAACTCACGTGAAGAAGAAACCAAGCGTACGAACTTTGCTGTGGCCAAGGTTTATCTGTCGGCCACCTTCGATGCTGAAAACCGCTCAAGGGTCGCAGAGGCTCGAGCCATTCAAGCATTCGAGTAGGAGAAGCGTTTGGAGTTCCAAGCCAAGCCAGATGTCTTGCAGGAGTGCGGGTTTGGTTTGGCAGACATTTCGATGTGCGAGACCATTGATCCTGCCTTGCTGGCTATGTGCTTGCAGCTTTGGGCGTTCGGCTGTTTGCCTGGAGGTGGTTTTCTGCCCGCTGTTAGTATCTTCTCTGCTGTAATTGCTGTGGATCTTGATTATTAATTGTTGCCTAACATGTAGCTTTGTCTTTCTGACTGATGTTTCTTGTTGCTGTTAGGTTTGCTGGGCACGGAAAGCTCGACCAAGTCTTGCACAAGAGAGATGTGATGTCACATCGAGTAAAGAAGCGAAGCAGCATGAATGCAAGTGAGGCCAGCGTTAGCTCCCAAATTCATTCCGCTGACCAAGCATCCCATGCAAGACGAGAGACTGTCAAGCTGACAAAATAGCATCTGCATCAGGACCTCCCAATCGGTACAAACTTAGCTCAGCTGCCGGCTGAGACGCCCATCCGACGCTCGGCAGAGGTTTCTAGTAAATTCGGGTAGGACTATGATGTTCTCAGCCTGCGGCCAATGGTGAGGTCAGAAGTGTGGACTCCAAGCAGCTGTACTGCTAAACATGTTCGCTGTCATGTTCCCGCAGCACGTAGCTAAGTAGTTCTGGTTTACTAGGGGGCTCAGACTTGCATAGCCCAAATTTTCACTCAGGTTGGTTCGAGTATGTCAACATTTACACTAAGTCGCCTGTGATTGAGCAGACGACCCCGGCATCGCTGCTGATCTCGGACACGAACGTGCGGCTTGGATGAGGTCTAGTCCAGGGCCGTCTAGGGGTGCAACGCAGCAGCTGGGCACAAGTCAAGTTTCGACCTGTGCAGATTTTGCTTTGCAGCTCGCGACAAAAGCCTTGTATCCACAGCACTGCCATCGGCCATCAGCCTTGTAATGTCTGCGCCAACAGCAAGGCAGATCGCCGATGTGGAGTTCCTGGACCAGGACTTGGATGAAGAGGAGCCAATCACGGGGATTTGTCCGAGGGAACGAGCTTTTATCTTCGTGCCGTTTCACGACCTACTCGAGTTTAGCAGCTTGAATAACTCGGCCACCCGGCTGACTACGCGAAGTTCTCGCAACATGGCACCTCCATAAACCTGGAGCAACTAGACCCCTTCTTGTACCAGGATCTCGGTGGCAATGTCACCTGGACGGTAACACGCGACCTTGGGCTTATCGCCCACTTCACTGTGTGCTTCGGCCTTGAATGACCTCGAAGGCCTGTTCGCCCGGTACTATTGCAAGCCAGCCAGTGACAATGAGTCCACTTTCCCAACAGTCCCAACGGTTCCTGAAAGAAAGGTATTTCACCGAGAACGATACCTGGGAGACAGGGCGCAGCACGGCGGGGCAGGCACCGTTTCTTTGAAGGATGATCTCACACGATTTATCGGGTTGAGAAGCCAAAGCCGAAGCTGGGTCGTCACTAGAACTGGCAACATGCTGGAAAGGAAGCACAGCACTTGATGTCAAAGGTGTGAGACATCACATGAACCTGGTAATACGGCGTACCAAGATTGTCCTGGCGGATTGTTTCCTTCGAAACACTGATATCTAGACTGCGTCCGAGTCTCCCTACGACTGCATTCCGATATCGGCCAGGATGTCGCACCGGCGGAATTTGCAGAGCTGTTTGTCCCGCCCGACACCAAGCCGCCTTTGGCAACTTACAGCAGCCAGGCAGACAGTTTGAAGGGCTTCGACAGCCGTCCCCTAGACCTTGCCGTCGAAGGTTCACTTGCTGCCTGCATGGCTTTGCCAACCTCAAAGCACCCACCCACTTTTCGTCCCAACTGAGCAGACTTTCAATGAATGCTTGCATATCAGACAGCTTCTTTATGTTGAATGCCCGGAGGCGGCAAGTCCGTGCCTGACAGTCTTGAGCCCTCGCATGCTTTCCAAAGAGGGTGTTAGCCCTTGCCATTTCTGCCGAACTCTGGGCGGAACTTCGGAGTTGTTTCTGGGTGCAAATTTTTGCATGTCAATCTAGCCTCCCAGGGCGGTTCAAGAAGCATCGGGGGCACTGACGAACTTCTAGATCCTCCTGCCGTACGAGATTAGCATGCACGAGATACCTGGACTGGATAGCGATGACCTGGCTACAGCAACAACTGCGGAGACTTTGAAAGCGCCACACCCCGTGAGATGACACCCTGCCAATGGCTTCTCTGCATTTTGTAGTTCTTGCTGCTGAGGCTGGGTTTCAGTTTTTCCAAGCTCCCTGATTGCCGAGCGGACCACACCCTTCGCGGCGCCAATCAACGACACCATCTCACCTGTCACCCGGATGAACTGGATAATTTGAGTTCGTGAAGTCGCGCAGTATTCAGTACATGCAGGAATCCCAGCTTCCAAGCTCGTTATGAAGAAACTAGCCCGTGCCGGCAACGAAAGCTTCGGCACTTCTGCGTGCGAATGCTGCAGTCGTTTCGATGCTTCTTGTGAGAGTACTTGAGCTGCAACCCTCGAAGCCGATTCGAAGAATCTGACTGATTCTGAGTCGTCCAGGTGCTGAATGTTTCCTTCCTGGACCTGGATTTAGATTTGAGTGCTTCCTGGCAACATACGCATAAAGAGGACAGCTTCGGCTCGTGGCACAGTGACACAGCAGTCACTCGTGACTCATGACTAATGTTGAACTTCGAGTGCCTAGGTTCAAAGCTAGAATCGTGAGAGCGAGAGACCGGGAGAGATGTTGTGTTCTGCGGTCTTGGCAGCTTTGCAATCAATGTGTCTGGATCGAAGCAACCGTGTCGGCATTTGTGGTCTACCGTACCTGCATCTCTTCAAGACGGTAGTGATTTTATCACTGCCACGAGGTGCTCGTATGCAACGATGTCCCAGGAAGTAGCCCCCAGAAGTGTTACCTTTCACTGGACGCCCTTTATCGGCTATGTGCAGTTGGCACCATATAGTGTCAGGCTTTGAAGTTCGGAGCTGGGGGCCTTCACCAGGCCATCGGAGCAGACTAGCGGAAGGATCTCTTTTTGAACCAGCGGTCGATGGAACAGTTTGTCACTGTGGCCTTGGCATTCCTAAGGACCTTGGGGGCAAGATTTCCTGGGAGCCACCGCTGGAAGCCTCGCAGGCCGTGAATACTTATATGCAGTCACATGGTGAACTGACTCGGGGAACCCCTTCAGCTGAGAAGCAGGAGTTTTTGTTAGGTTCTTGTTGGAGACGTTCGAGTGTTTGCCACTATCTGCAACCGTTACGAGTTCTGCTGACACGCCTCTCAGTTCGCTGACAACAGGTAGCCGGGAACGGGTGCCGCTTGAAAGCATAGGTCACACACTACCTGGTATACCTGGCTGCGAATGCTTCCGGAGCCGGGCGGTCCATGGTCGGCAGCGAGGCACCTGCTGCGTGAAGTTCACCTCAATGGTGCTTTTCGGAGTCTCGCTGTGTCCAGTCTGTGTAGGTCCGTCCTCCGCACTTACACAACAATCGTAATCTTTCGCTTTGTCTTGGGGTTCTTTGCCTGTTCATGCAGCATATTGCCATGAGCTTGGCGGTTGGGTGCCTGCTGCTTCTGTCGCTGATTATTGATTGGTGTTGGACTTCACCTTTTTGTCTCAAGTCTCAAGTAGCACTTCTGCCAGAACACTGACAGACTGCGTTTCGAGCGAAATCTGAAGCCATCATTCGTCGAGAGACTGCAAACTGTGGTTTTGAAGTCAGGTACCGTACGATTCGCTGTCGACACTGCTGGATGCAGAAACTCCCCGGCTCGATCGCGACTACGTTGTCGTTTACACTCGATCCCTGGGCGCAAATCAAGCTGATGGCTACAAAGTCACATATACCAGCGAACTGCCTATTCCCCGCCGCGGCTTACAACTACCACACCACGGCTTCTAATGCTACTACTGCACCTGTTTCGACCACTACGAGCCAGCAGTGCGACGATTTCTGGCATGCTACACTGCACTGCTCCATTGTCACTGCTTGCAACTGCTGCTGCTGCTACAAGCGGGGCTGCAGCTGCTTTCTGCTGCTGCTACTGCTGCTACTACTACTTCCTCCATTAACACTACTAACGTACTACTAACACTACTACACTGCTGAAACCACTACTGCCACTGCGACTGCTGCTGCGGCTACTCGTGCTCCTGCTGCTGCTGCTGCTACTCGTGCTCCTGATCCTATTCCGACTACTACTCCTACTACCACTGCTACGGCCATGACTATGGCCACGGCGACGGTCTATCCGACAAGCTGTTTGCTTGATGTCGGCATGAGGTTTGCTTGCACCTCCGTCAAGCTTGTCGGTCCTGGCACATGATTTCAAAAGTTGCAAGTTGCAATGATCAAGGCCATACAGGTCGTTCAGCATGGTGGTAGTGATGATACAGCAGCGGTTGGCAGTAGCGGCAGCGATAGCTGTAGCCGCAGCCGTAGCAGTGGCAGCGGCAGCGGCAGCAGCAGTATCGAAGTTGCTCTGGTTCCCAAATACCACACCATTTGCCTTCTGCCCCTGAGGATCCTACTTGGTGGAGTCGACCACTCCGTCGCACTTCCCCATCTCGGACGCTTACTCAGTCGTTCAGGCAGGTGCGAAATCGCTTGAATTGGACTGCGAGGTACTCGTGGTACAGTCGGCGAAGTCTAGCAGCTAGCACAAACAATACGGGTTTCTTTGCATCTCGTCTCTTCGATTTCTTGGCCAGAAGGGCCTGGCTAAGTACGCAAGCAGGTGTTGGTTTCATAAGTGGAGAACCGAATATAATCTCGAAAAGTTAAAAAGTCGAAAGGTTGTTGACTTGCAGCTTTTCGTGTTTGCCTGCGTCTTCCGCACTTTTCGGTGCTTTTCGGCTTTTAGACTTTTCGGCAGTTCACGTTGTTCTGCACGTTGTCGAATTTCGACGTTTCGCGGTTGTCTGCGCTTTTCGCACTTTTCTGTACTTTTCCGTGTTTTCTACTTTTCGACTTTGTACTGTTTTCACACTCCTGTCTACTTCGTGTTTTGCTTTTCGACTTGTCAACCTTCTGCTTTTTGCGTTTCGCTGCGCTTTTCGTTGTTTTCAGGTGTTCATACAAAAGCTCCAGGCTAGGCTAAGGATGGGTTTAGTGGATACACCCGGGCTGTTGTTCCAGGCTTATGTGTGGCCGCAAAGCCCAGGGCTAGACCGCGGGCAGGCAGGCCCAAAGGATGGGCTGGACAGGTAAATCTAGGCAGGCCTAAAGGGCTGGGCCAGCGGTAGGCCTGAGGCAGCAGTGAAATGAGTGGCAGTCGGCAGTAGTCGTAGTGACTGTCGTAGTGTATTGTGGCTAATCGTGGCAAGAGTTTTCAGCAGAATCGAGCTTAATGGCAAACTTCGCTGAATCTCAAACCATTTCGGGTTCCGCGCAAGCCGCCTAGAAGTAGCCAAAACATGAGTATTTTGGCTAAGCGTGCTCTTTCAATGGTGTTTGACAATTTGGGCTTGTCCAACCAACAGTAAAGTAGCTAAAACACGTGGAATTGTGGTTTGTTGTTCAGGTCTTAGGAGCCGCTCAGTTTCATTGTTTAAATTAGGATGTGTGTTTCCATCTTGCTTTTGCAATGCACCCAAACGTAGCAGAAACATACGCATCTGTCTATTGCGTGGCTACTTCGGCTGGGAATGCCGACTCCCAAATTTCAGTGATTTAGGATCCTCAAAGTGTCAAACACGAACGGAGACCCAACAAAGCAACTTTCAACCAGTGTTGAGCATTTCGTGCGTCCACCAGCAACGAAGAGTGAGCAAGACAAGCATGTTGAGCATCCTCGAAACACCTGAAAGGAACGAAACCGTAGGCAGGTTGTTTTTTCTCTTTTGAGGAGCCTTTAGCGGCAACTTTCGATTGGTAATGCTTCTTTTGAGAGCATCTCGTGGTTAAACGACAGCTTGCTGAGTTTGAAACCATGTCGGGTTTCATCCAAGCAGCCAAGCAGCGAATCAAAAGCATAGACGTTTTTGGCCGGGCATGGCCGGGCCAACTCCCGAGAAGCGCTTTCTCAGTGATGTTTGAGCCGACTTGTTGAGTTTTCGCCTTCTGCGGTGGTTATGGGTTATTGACTTTTTCGATAGGTTTTGATATTTGGACTCTTTGACTTGTCGACTTTCGCTGGACTTTTCATTTTTGTACGTTTCGACTGTTCGCTTTTGGCTGTACTTTTGGACTTTTCGCATCTTGCTGCACTTTTCGGGTTTTCGCCGCTTTTCGACTTTTCGTTGTTGCTGCACCTGTCGACTTTTCGATGCTTTTAAAACCTTTTGACATTCGCCTTTTCCGGGTTTCCTGCTTTTCGCGTAACAGCTCCATCCAATGCAACTTTTCGCCGCTTTGGGGCTGTTCGGGTGCCGTTTGGCATTCTTCGCGTATCTGCGCCAACTGCCATTCGCAAACACCGACAGGGCCAGCATCTGTCTCCGTGCCACTCCGCTTACAGCCTATCTGTGAGACCTTCGGGGCCCCTTCTCAGCTTGCCAGGTGAACTTCACTGACAAGGATCTAGACGACTCGCAGATTGGAGGTGTGGGATTGAAGCTCCAGGGAGACAAACGGTTTGTATGATCGAAGGCCTGCATCTGTGACCAGCTAAACCTTTACCTGTCTCGCTGCACGTCCATCTTGTTCCAATCCGGTAATCAACACGGATTTGATATGGGAGGAGTGGAGTCAGGACTGCTGAACGGAAGACCTATGCACAGAACTTACCCAGCTTTTGTTTCAGAATCCAACATAACTAACATAAACAACCAATGCCTCGAGACCAGGAGTTTTGATGAGTAGCTTGTGTTCTGTGTCACCTCTCTTGTGCTTTCAGAGCGATGCGATTCTCGTAGTTTCCAGGCCGCCAAGTCCACCAATCGGCCCCAAGCAACATCATCAAACTCTTGATCTGTCTTGCAGCTTCAGACTATCAGAAGGGAAAGTCAAAGCTGCGCAAGGCACAATTTCCTGGACCACTCCCGAGCCAGACTTCAACCCCTTGGTGTCGTTCTTCACTCTGCATCTAGCAGACGACGCGTTTCTCGGAGTACATAAACGGGAGATTTCCGAGACATTCAAGCAGCACGGCGAGGATGTCGGCAGGAAGTTAACAAGCCGAGGTTCGGTTTCAACCGCTCGCAGATTGGGTCGACCATGCCTTGGGATCTTCAGGAGGCGACCACTGCAACTTGTAATTAGGCTTTGGAAGGCAAGTTCTGACGATGTAGCAGTTTATCCGATAGCGCAAGATACGCCAACATCTCCAGATGTCACCAACTTATTTGCAACTTCACCGGTGTTTTGAGGGGGCAGGATCGTGTGATTTGCATTGGACCTTGATGCAAATCGACGGCTGCAGCACCTGCGATCTGATCTGTGTGGTAATCCCGCCAGTCTTTCATCTCATCTCCCATACCCCGCCACTGGACTGGGCAAGGCAGCTCTGCCACCTGAAGTCTACTATGACACGGCTACGCACTTCGTTGTGTTCACTGGCAGCACACTGGTGGAGCAGACGACGCCATCGGCGCTGGTGCCGTGGCTGCAGCCCAAAGCCCCGGTGCTGAAGATGTTCAAAGTTCTCGCAGGTTCAGGAATTGGATTCGGGCTTACATTGCTGTCGGAGGTCACAGAACAGCAGAGATGCCAAGACGGCCGCTGAGTCACGAGGTCGGGCAACCCCACCAACCTGCCAGCTTGATCTTTACGGGGTAGGTGAGACACATTTGTGCGGCAAGGCAATTTACGACACGGATGCCAGCGTCTCCAACATAACGTTTCAAGACAAGGACCTTGATGAGCTTCTGGATCTGCAATTTCGCATGGCTTGGAAGTACGGGGAACCGGCTACTAACGGTACCATTTCTGACAAGTCCTTTCCAACTCGGAGGTCCTACCTACCCTCTCGAAGATTTTCAGCAGAAGCCTCACCTTAAGGCCTGGCACATGTAGATGCAGAGGCCTGCAAACCATAGATCCTACTTCTCAGGCATTCAGGCACTTCAGTTGCGACATCCTCGAGAAAGTTTCAGGCAACAGTGTTTAGGCTTAGGCGTTCACTCAGGTCCGAGATGGGTGGCGACATCTTCTGGGACGCACCTCTGGATGCTGACCAGGCAGTTTGTGTGCCGTGCGTGTATCAATTCAGCCTGGTCCGGAGTTCTACAGAGAAGTCTGACATGAGCATTTCGATAGCAAAGGGGCAAGAGTGCGCAGCACCAGCCGTCTTTCACGGATGAGACATAACCAGACCGATTGAAGGGCTCCGGTTGTTGGTTTCCGGGATTGCCGGCTCTAGAATGCTCTCGCTTTAGGTCGCTGTGCTGTGTGGAAGGTCAAGTTTGAGACGCCAACCCCAGCCCATAGAAGCTCGACGCTGGAGGGATAGATGCGAACAGGTCACCTACTACGCCGTCTTTATCGGTCCAGACCCTCTGGGCCAGCGATCGCAGGCAATGTTCTTGCAAACGGTTGGCAAACTCGTGTGTAGTGGAAATGCCCAGAGCGACGGAGAGAGCGAGAGGGCGGCATGTGCATGTGTGTGTGTTTCTATTTATCTATACTATCTATCTATCTATATGTGTGTATGTGGTTGCGCCCCGGCGGCGGCCTCCTCCCCCCCCCCTTCACCCCGAATGGTATTCCCCCGTTGGGTCGTCCCCGCTCCCCCCCCCCGCCCTGGGGTGGTTTGGTTTCGGCATTCTTTCAATGGTTATGCCTGTGATCATCCCGCCTCCCCCCCCGTCGAACGACTGGGATCTTGAGCTTCGGAGTTTAGTCAGCCTCCCCCACCCTGTCTCTCTCTGAAACAGGTGTATTTGGGGCTTATACATGTATAGATATCCGTTTGATACCTACTTGATGTTCTGTACGAAATTCTGTGACTATGACTAACTAGCTACTGCTTTAGCAAAAAAGAAAGCTTCAAATTGGCTTTCGTTCCACAATGCTGTTCACATAAAGATGAGGAATATTCCTTTATTATATAGCTGAACTTTTTCTGGTATGAACATGTTGCTACTGTTCAGTTGTGTTCGAACACAAGTCACTGCCAAAATTGTTTGTATCTGTGATGCATATTTAGTGAATATGCAGTCATATTTGACATATACTCAGCCCAGTGTTTCCGTAATTTGAATGTCACATGCTATTTGCACATAGGCAGTGTTTAGATACCAGCTACGTACTACTTCAATCATACTTGCAGAGCATTAAAACTCAATTTGTGGAACACTTGTTTGGTACTTGGTTAGTGATGGCTGCATGTTCGCAGGTATGTCCCTCATTGGAACATATTGGAACTCCAATCTTGGATAGCTTTTGGCTGCGTATAGTCTTACGTCGTATTCAGGCGGTGATTGACTATTGTAGGCTTGATGCCTGATTGATGTTCTGTGCACAATATATAAAGCTCATTTTAACAAAATGGAAATCTGTAAGTATTTCATTCTATACCCCTCGAACATGTAGTATTGACATACAACCAAATCAAAAGTCACTGCTACATGCTTCAGACCTACATGAGATTGAAAGATTGTTCGGTAGTTTCTTTAAATAAACCAGTATAGCTGAATGTTCACCCAAATTTAGCAGCTAATGCTTGTTGAAAGATAAGCAGGATCTCGTTGAGATCTAACCCAACAGCGGTGTCATCTTCAGAATGTTTGACTTAGATGTACACAAGACAAATGTTCGTAATCCCGGCTATGCATATAGCATCTCATGGCTTAGTCGCTAGTGCATACTGTGTGTGCATTTACTTGTTTCTTCTGCTATCCCCTTCTCAAAAAGAAGCCGTAGTCACAAAAGACAGAACTAGCCCTTGACTGCTACGGCATGGTTTGGTTTCCGTCTCTTTATCGAATAGCTTCTCCAGCATTAGCAAATCTTAGGTCTCACGCGTATTGTTTGAATACTGCCTTTTGCGTGGCTTGAGCAGTCAGGCAGAGAGGTTCAACGCTCTGCAACTGCGTTTGTGTAGCCGCAGATGCAGACTGTGACCAGTCTTGCAGGTTTACAGATCGTGGTATGAATGCCGTCGGCATCTGCAAGCAGAGAGAATCGTACCATGCAGAAGTACATACTATGAAGCGCATGCTGCCTTGCCCATGTTGTGTGTGTCGCTTTCTGAAACTATTAGTTCACCTGCTGTTTCCTTGGTTTCAGAGATGTTCAGAGCAAAGGGCTTCGGCCCGTAATGCTGCTGCTTCTTGGGGTAGGCATAGTTTGCAAAACCCCAACACCGACGTGGTATGAAAATCGAGAAAGGGCTGTTCGGCCTCGAAACCTCGAGTCCAAAACCCCGACCCTGAAGTCTTCTGTGCAGGTGGCCGGTTACGGTCCAGCTGGTCTTGTTCCTGCTGGGGTGGAGCAGCTGGACATAATTCCGCGAGGTGGATATGCGTTTGTCAGGATGGTAATCGGAAGTATTGGAAACAATTTGAGACGAGATGATCAGCCGCTCATCGTTCATCCGGGAAAAGATAGGAAAGGTGCCCGAGGACGCCATCAAGATGCATCAGTCATGTTACATCCCGGACACGTGTTTTACGGATTGCTCGACAGCCATGCGTGTCCCGCAAGCAAGGCAAGAGTTCATCAATGCTGACACCTCGATTGGCACGTTCCAGGTGGGGTTATCAAATCTTAGCCCTGTTTGCTTGAAGCTGAGTATCTTTGGGATCGCTTCTTCGCAGATGAAACAGATGCTTCCCCAAAATCTTGGTAGTCGGAATGCTATGATGCAGTCATACATGGCAGTCATCGTCACAGCCCTAACAGCTCCAACAGTCTTCGTCGTGTTTGTAGCAGACGTCGTCTGTCGTTTGGTTGACATCGTTGTTTTGAAGAGGTCATCGTACTCCTGCAGTCGTAGGCGCAACTACTACTGCTCCGACGAACAGTACAAACGACTCTGCTCCTACTACTACTACTACTACTACTACTACTATTACTAGTACTGCTACCACTGCTACCACTGCTACCACCACTACTAC